CCCCGGCCCCAGCCCCCAGAGCCACCACGGCTTGGCAGCCAGTGGTTCACGGGCCGGACCAGGGAATGGGAGCTGCTGGACATCTCAAAACTCTTGGCTCGGGAGCAAAACTGATGATGATGATGATCTCTTAGGCAGGCCTGAAAGGAGCTGTGACCAAAGGTTCTCAAACTTCTCAGCCTGCAACAACAAACATTACTGAATGACCCCAGGAGAGAGGATCAAAGCCTGAGCCCGCCTTATCCCTACCACTCAAAGCGAGGGGTACAAAACCCACGCCATGGACTTTATACTCACACAGGGTGCCTACAGCCTGAGCCCCATTGCCCAGGGCTGAAATCCTTGAGCTTCAGCTTTAGCCCTGGGAGGTGGGGCTTAGGCTTTGTCCCAAGGCTCCAGCAAATCCGAACCAGTCCTGGTGACCCCACCAAAATGGAGTTGTGTGTCAGCATCCCAAAGTGGGTCACACACTGAGAATGGCTGAATGAGACCCTAAATTGAGCACAATGCTGTGGATGAGCCACTCACTTCTGAGCTCCAGAAACCCCAGGGAATTATGTCCTTACCTGTGTTTCTGGTCAAATTCCTTTCTGGCTACCAAAATTCCTCCTGTAGATTGAAGGGGTATGGTATTGTTCTTTCAACCTTGTCCTGTATTTAGAGGTGTTGAGCGCTGTTAAACAGCTGCTGCATTCCACCACAGAATTGGCACTATTTAATGCTATTGCACTTTTCATACAAAATGATCCCTGAATGCAGAAATGCTTTCACCCACTCTCTGCTCAAATTCACCCTCATTCCTATTCTGAGAAGGTTACATTTGAAACCGATCCCCACTCACCCACGCAAAGCAGAATTCTCATCATTCTAATCCAAGTAGCTGATGCTTATTTGTCATGTGGCAATGCCCAAAACTCTCAAACATGCTTGGGGACCCATTATGCTAAGCACTGGTCAGACCTATACTAAGTGACAATCCCTGTTCTGAAAAGTAGGAGACAGTAGGCAGCTGTAAAGCAGCAATGAGGTATGTGCTACCTGCAAAGAAGAGAGCTTTACAAGATCAGAAATTTGAGCCTAGAACAAGTTGCATGTGAAATTGTGCAGTCTCACATGGAAACAGCATGATGTCTCTATTTATGAAAGGATGATGCAACAGAGATGCATGTGAACAGAGCGTTGGCATTTCCTTTATTTTGCTTCCGGCAAGGAAGTCCCTTCTGGAATAATGAGAATACAACACCCACTGCAACATGGTGTGGAGGACAAGGAAAGCTGAAAGGAGGGGCTCTCTGCCCTTCACACACAGGGGACATCGTAGCAACAGGTACAGATAGTGTAAAACAAAAAGAGAAGATTCTCTTAGTCTAGCGAGCCACTTACCTGAATAGCTTGGCGCCCTTGCTGAGCATCTGCTAGCAATTGGATGGTGAGGGTTCTGGAATCCTGGAGGGCATCTTGGAGGTAGATAAAGCTATGACCCACATGTCGTCCCATGGTGCATTCCCGGCAGATAGGGACTGAACAAGTGTCACAGTAGAAATGCAGCACCTGGAAAAAGGCCACAGAAACATTAAGCCACCCACAGAAGAAAACAAGCATCTTTAACCATACAAGAAGATATTACAGGCAGTAATGATAAGCAAAGTTTTCACAGCAGCTTATATAGAGGAAAAGCGCTCTCTCTTGTAAGCAGACACTTCTACATGGACAAAAATAAAATAGAAGTGTTATTGTTTTCTTTGCAATACAATACCAGGATGTACATCTCACCCTCCTCCCAAGAACGGAAACCATCTGCCAACACTCACCCATTCGGGTATGTCCCCTATTGCATTTTCAGATAACTTTATGAAATGTTTGAATATGCGAGAAAAGTTACTAAGCCATTTAAACGTACAATCGCTGCACTGGGCACATCAAGCAAAAAACAAAGGACAAATCCTCTTTTTGATCTTTCAGTCTGTCTACATGACAGAACCTTCAGGGCAAACTGGAGGCAAAAGCTTGCTATCAGTGGTGACAAAGAACTGTGACAATTCTCCTGTGCCAGCCAGCACTTTTAGTGTCAGTGGAACTTCTGGGAAGAAGCTGGAATTATGAGGAAGAAACTGTACTAACTGTAAGTTAGTTACAGAATTTAAAGATTATCCTATAAGCCAAATGCAATCACGTTGGTTAACAAAGCTGATCCAAATCTCAATCACATTCACTCTGGATGGGAACTTTGTATATTTCATATCATTTATTTATTCACTAGTAGTAACTTGTGGAGCTTGCATGTTTGCATTCCAGCCAACAGAGGGAAGTGGTACACAGATGTAGCATGCTATACAGATGTGTGTTATGTTAAGTAAAAGAAATAAGTTGGATTTCAAAAACAGATCTGTGTAGGAGTGTAAAAACCACCAAGCAACCTCAGAACAAGAAAGCTCAGAGTGAAATCTAAAACTAACTTACTTACACACCACATTCTTAATTCAGGAGATCATAAAAAGCACTTGAAAACCCAAAACACAGTCAAAAGCCAAATTCATTGTACAATGCTAGTAAGGTCTTATACACCACAAATACAGTTTTTCACTCATCCCTAACCTACTAGTTACTTTAATCTACTCCACAGGAATGATCAAGCACAAAACAGAAACAAGAGCCAGATAACGTTGAGCATGGAGTGGTGACACAGTGGGAGGCACGGCACTACAGAATCTAATGGTAACCAACATTCTCTGTACCAACTTTGAGGGAGGGAGGGAGAGAAATGGGGAGGGGAGAACTGGAAGGAAACACAGGAGACGACTATCCTGATTGCCTAACATTTACTCCATTTATAGATCACAATAAGCCAGGCAACAGGCTCACTTCTCCACCTTGCATGGACACAGTTTATATTTAGTAGACTAGAGACATAATATCTGTAGTAGCACACAAAGTTGTGTGCGTGTAGTTAATAAACTCCATCAAATTTAAAAATTAAAGCATCTTATTAATGTCAAGCTGCTTTAATTTCTAAATATGAAGTTTGGAACTACACATTTTCCAGTAGTAGAAAATTCCTTCTGTGCACAATGTGGTAAGTTAGTTTACTATATTATAGTCTTCTCTTGCAGTGATGCATTTTCAATATAATTTTACAAAGAACATGCATTAAACATTGCTGGGCCATCTAACTTTTAAACAACAAAGAGGGGGGGGGGGGAAGAAGAGGATGAAAACCAGGCAAGGTATCAAGTCCAGTTAATATTCTTTAAAAACATGTCACATGGACTATGTATCTCACTATCAAGATATCTATCAAGGAGGGCAGTTGAAAAGAAAATGATGATCATATAAGCAGGAGTCCAGCAGCAAGTTAAACTTGCCATTAGCTCCCTCAAACAGCCAATGTCAGAAGCAAAGCTAAGGCAAAGTCCAGGGAACTGTCTTGTCACACAGATCCAGATGCTGTTGCTGCAGAAAATATCATGCCTAATGCAGGAGTCATCCAGGCCAGAAACATAGAAACTAATCAAGACATTGCTCAATCAACACACTCTCACTGCCCCTCCCTCTAACAGCATGCAAATGAAATAATCAAGTTTATAATGAAACCAATTAACAAATGGTGGATTATTTATTTCAGATATGCAGATTACATAGGGAACATGATAAAGTCTTAAGACAGAACTGAAAAGTCAACCTTCTCCTTCAATTGAGAAGGCTGTTGGCAAATTTCAAAGGCAGAGGTTCCCAATTTGTGAATCATGAGCCACTGGGAGGCACAGAGGAATATTTTGGTGGTGGGGGGAAGAGCATGGCTGGGGTCTGAGCCCTCACAGGTAGCAGGGAGGGAGCAACCGCCAATTCCCATTCCCGGTTTAAGCCCAGAGCCCCAGGTACCAACATTGCCCCCACTCCCGACTATGGCTGCAGCCTTGATCCTTTACTTCTGCCAGAGCTGTGGCCTCACTCCTAGCCCTGCCTGTGGAGTGTGGTGAGGAGTGCAGACAGGGGTGAGTGGGCGCACAAGGTAAAAAGTTTAGGGACCACTGTTCTACGGTGATGTAATTACAAGATTGCAAAGCTTCTTGATAGAAGAGAAAAAGTAGCTTTAAGAGAATTGGGACCACCTTTTAAAATGACAATGCTTGCTCCATTTCCACCACCACTTATTAAGTTAAATTACTTACACACAGACACACCCCTCAATACATGTTCACTCTGCAAAGAAAATGACTAGACATCAAAAGGCAGCTGGAGAAGAGTAGTCAACTACAAGAGGACTTGTTATCTTCTAAGCACAAGTACTGCGTTTTCTGCCTTTTCCAACTTCCGTTTAAATTCTTATAACTTCCTACAACATAAGGCAACATATTAGAGGTGGGTTAGCTGCACAGGCTTTTTTATTTTAGCTAAATGTTACTCACTATACACCCCAATGGACCTGCAAAAAATCAGAGGGCCAGACTGTCGCAGTTACGGGAATGGAGGGAGGGAATTCAGAACTGTCTGGGTGACGGAAGGGTGTTGTCAGCAGGGTTCTCTGGGTAGAAGCCACCATGCCCACCCCACAGCCAATTCCACAATGAATTAGTAAGAAAACTGTCATGTATTATTCACAGTCTCCTTTTCTTAAGCCCCAGGGTTCAGGGCCAGTAGCAAAGTTTCCTGCCCCCTCACTTGTTTTTTGGTGTTGCTTGTATTGTTTCTCCGCTACTACCAAACAGGGACACCCAAACCCAATAAATAGAAATATCTGTCTCTCAATAAAATTTTGTATTTGATTTTAATCAGGAAGGGTTAAGAGCCAAACAAACACCAGACCTTGTGCTACAAATGGTAGATATTCCAGTTTTTTCTTGCAGTAGAAAGATACCTGCAACAGTTCCGATTCCCTCAGGAAAATATGCACTAAACTTAGAGAACCCAAAATAAAAGGCTCTACTAATCCTCTAATTCCTGTATCTGGAGTAACACACTGAAATCAGAAGGGTGTGACTCATGCTATTGAACATATATTCCAAAACACAGGACTACTCTGTGCTATTATTAATTAATAAAATTCTATAGATTGTATCCTTCTATAGAAGGATAAAAAGTTAATTCACAACTATTTTGGGAATATAGCCTCAAAAACACACAGATGTCTTGTTTGGTGCAATGAGCGCAGAGAAGGAAAATTGGAGAAAAAGATACTCTTTTCCTCATAAATTAAAAAAATTAAATAAAGGTCAGATGAACTATTTTTACTGGATTTATTGTTTGGTTCCATACTCAGTACAAGGCTGTTTTCCACTAAAGATAAGAAATAAGAGGAGGGTTTTTTAATTTTTAAATATAACATTCTCCACTTCGTTAAACTCTGGGCAATGTTAGTCAGTCGATGTACAAATACTGGAAGATACATTCAATATGTAAAAAGAATAACAATGTTTCTATTAATTTGAGGATTCCAATCTCTCTTTCAATTTATGTTTTAAGAAGTGCCATAAAAAAATCCCCCAAAAAACAGACATGCTGAGGAGGAGATAAACAGGCAGGAAGATGGTGATGGGAATTATTTTAAAGACGCTTAACAGTGATTTATTTGGAAAGAAGTTAACCATGGGTTGATTATTTCCAAATAGAAAATATTTCCTTCAATTGGTGGAATACAATTTTAAACACAAAACAATAGAGGCAGCCTACTTCAAATTAAACAGAGTCAGTGAACCCTAGCAGAGGGCTATTCATCTTTTATAGCCACAGGAGCCCAAGAAATACGACAGCGAGACAATAAACATGATTGCTTCAGGAAAGGCTGTACAGTGCACTGTAAAAACATTTTACAACAGCAAAATTCCTGGGTGTCGTTCTCCCCATTTTTTTGGTCCATCTGCTTTCAAAGGGGGTGGGGAGGGGGGATGGGCAGAAATGTTGTTAAATGTCCCCTGGGATTCCACAGCAATCAATCAGCATCTGATGAATGGCCACTAAAGTTAAACTCTGACCCGACGCAGACAATTCCCACACCAGCTCTCCCCTCCTTACTGTTGACCAGCTTCCAGAATACCCCACCTACCTACCTCCCCTCACCAAAATTTCCAAAATACCAGGCACAGACAAAAGCACTGGAATGTAGTAGCCATGAGGGAAATTCAGTGAAAACAGCAGTTGAGGAGCCTGATCTTAACCGGTGTTTAAAAAGTCTCCTCTCAGTGAAGCCAAAGGGTGCCTTTTTGCCCCACAGCTCACGTTGAAAACTTTGATTTGTCTCTGTAAAAAAAAAAAATGTAGATTTCTAAAATGTGTTTGCATGTAGCTCTCTCTCTTTCTAAGATGGAACAATAGATTTCTTCAAGAGCTAACAGGATCCCCAGCATCATATGCATGATATTGACACTAAGTGATAGAATAAACTCTCATCTTTCAAACCACAACATTAGGAACCCATTGATGGGGACAAAAGTATTTGGAAGCTAAAGAAAGCCAGACACATAAGTGCACTGAAAGTTACTGGAATTTTTACGTTATTTCTCATTCTGCCCAGGGTACAGATACAAAATAGAAGATGAAAAATAGTAGTTTTATTT